GCAATTACCCACATCTACCATTTGGTTATTTGTTTGAAATAGTTCTAAATATTTCGAATTGTGACAGAAACACATGGGTAGTTCAAATTTATTCTAAAGAAAGAGATCTTTGTACAGTCACATTCAAAATGTTTCAGAAATATATAAATGAATTCAAATATATTCAAATTTTCATTTTCAAATTTTTGAAAAATTTAGAACTTTTGTTACTGGGGTATTCTTTTCTTCTAAATAATTCAAACGTATTAGAAACATGGAGAAAAAAACCCACTCGGTGACGCGGAATGGACTCTACAAATTCAAGTGATTTTCAAAAGGTCAGGTTTTATGGAAATTATGCAAATTAGCTTATTCCCAAGGGACCAACATTTTCAAACAAAAATTTTGGCTAACAGAGGGAAAATTATACCAGAGGACAACAATTTCCTGCCTAAGAATTTGGTACTACATATTTTCTAACATATTTCTAAGACTTTTATTTTTCACGCGCAAATTTTTCACGCGCAAGTTTTTCACGCGCAAATTCTTCACGCGCAGAAAACCCGTTCCTGAAAAGTACGCGCCCCCCAAAATGTATCAATAGATTCAGTTTTATTTCTCAAACAAACAGTCACAATATCAAACTTAGCTACTTTTACTATAGAGTCCAAACTGTAGTGGTTTCATCGGCGAAGTACTCTTGTCGCAATTTCGTGCATTTGATTGAAGAAAATTGTTGATGCCGTGGCGTGCCGATGTAACACGTTACGTGTTCGACCGAGTTTGTTTACTGGCCGGGCGCAGGTCATTGACCTTGGCTTGCGTTGTTCCGGCGGCTGAGTGGACTCGAAGAGCAAAATGTCTGGCAGTTTTAGCGTCCGATTTTTGTTTGTATATCATTGAAAATAACGCTAATTTCCACCACTACATAACGAAATTCTTGTGAATAAATGTATAACTCAAAAAGTCTTTTGGGGAAATAAATATTCTTATCCGGATTTTTGGTGTAACATCCATTGACCTTTATCCGTCACATATATCAGCAATAGTGAAGTGTTGCCACTTTATAAAAAGATCAAACAGCATTCTTCCCCCGCTATATGTTGACACTATAGAGTACCTTTGCCCCTTTTGTTGAATGCGTTTTGCTGTCTCCTTGATGCCTCTGTAAGAAAATTATCGCACTGAATAAAACACGACTGAATTGCGTTGGAGACAGGCATGTTCTAAAAAAGATGAACCTTTATCCGTCACGAAGATACTCGTCATAACTCTCTCTTTGTTATTTACCTTTTAGACAAGGACTGTTATTTCTTTTTCCGTGGTTTGAGAGTGTCTGAAACTCAAGCTGTCTGGATAAGGCAAAACGAAAGTTCAGCGTTGAAAAATGTCCGTTTTTTTCTGTTCTCTGTCAATGTCCCGAAAAACATCGTCCTGCGACAGATTCGTTCTTACGTTCCACTGCCGAGTCGTGGCTGTTAATCCTTTGGTTAAATCCTTGGGGGCCTGCGACAGCTATTAAAATGCGAGTAACTGACGATGGTTTGCACTACAGTCGGTAAAAGTCATGCTAACAAGCAGGCGGAAGCGGAGACCCGGAAACTGTAACATGATAACACAG